TTTCTGCTGTTTGAAATATATCATTAATGAATAGAGAATCAAGACCGTGTGAGAATATATTTCTATTGTAGGTGTATGACAAAATACTTACAGCCAGAATATGTCAAGAATTCTTTATAAGATCAACAATACAATAAAAAGGATAAAAATTTTGAATAGACATTTCTATAAGGGAGATAAGTGATTTGCTAATCATTAATCAATGTCATTCGTCATCTGAGAAATGCAAGTTGGAACCGCAGTGAGATACCACTGTGAATACACTAGAATGACTTAAATCAAAGCAACAACAATACAAGTGTTGATGAGGAGATGAAGCTCCTGGAGCCCTTAGGCATTGCTGGTAGGGCTATAAATTGATACTACTTCTTTGGAAAACAGCTTCAAATTTCTAATAAGTTAAACATACATATAATTCCATTTCTATATATTTATACAAGAGAAAAAGATTATATATGTTTACAGAAAGACTTGAAGCTGTATTCATATTATCCCCAAATTGGAAATTACATATCTATCAATAGGTAAATGTATAAATATTTTTTGCTGTATTGATGGAATATAATATTGTCTAGCAATAAAAATAGCAAACCATGGATACACACAAATAAACCTCACACAAAAATAAATCTTAGGAATATGCTGAGTGGTAAAGCCAAACTTAAAAGAGCACTGGGGAGCAAATTATATTCTAGTCATGTACGATTATGTCAAAACAAACCCCAACATTATGTATAACTCTAATATTTTAATAAAAACATTAAAATGCATATTGCCGAGTGAGAGAAGTCGGCATGAAAGGCTTTATAATGTATGATTTCACCATATGACATTATGAAGACAAAACAATGGAGACCATGCAAAGATCAGTAGATGCTAGGGATTTAGGGGAGGTGAGGGAAAACAGTATTGAATAGGTAAAGAAAGGGAATTTAAAATAAAGAAGAGCACATACAGTCTGGTTCCATTAATATGAAACTCTAGGAAAGGGAAATCTAGTCTACAGAGAGAAAGCAGGCCAGAGGTTGCCTGGGTCTGGGAAATGGAGAGACCGGACTGCAAGAGAGCACCAGTAGACAGACTCTTTGGTCTTGTGTTAGTCAGTTTTTCAGTGCTGTGACCAAAATAACTGACAAGAACAACTCAGAAGAGGAGAAATTTATTTGGGGCTCATGGTTTCAGAGGTCTCAATCCATGTCCCATTAATCTTCTAATGAACTAGAGATGACATCCATTTGTTATGGTTCTTGTGATTGAATCATTACTACTCAATTTCTAAAACTTTATAGACATTTTTCATATCATTTATAATCTTTGCTGTTTGTGAACATTGCATAACTCCTTTTGTGTTTTTCCTAGTGATTTTTAAAAATTTATTCATTCAAACTAATCATATTGGAGCAATCGTCTTTTGTCCTTAAAATCTCATTTTCTGCCGAGGGGTTACTTTATCAGTTAGCAAGTGAAAAGTTTTTAGATATCACATATGTGTCTTTAATGGAAGCTGCCAAAGCAGTAGTTTTTGTTAGTATAACTTTTAGAATAATGATAACAGCTAATTAATTTAATACTTCAGTGTGTGACTCTGCTATAAGCATAGTAATACACAATCTCTTTTAAAAGTTCACTTGTCTTCCTCCCTCCCTCCCTTCCTTTTTCCCTTCCTTCCTTTTGGCACTGAGGATTGAAATCAGGAGCGCTTGACTACTGAGCCACATCCCCAGCCAATCATCAAATGGCTGTCCACTGCTTTGATAGTTCTCTCACTGATGCTGATGAAGGTATCCACATTCTTTCACTAAAAAGGCAAGGACATTTGAGTTGTTATAGGACCTTCTAATACCAGGGAGTCAGGAATATATTTTGTTACATAATAATAATGCACTAATAAAAGTCATCCAGACACACAGTGACCCATAGAGTACTAATTGTTGACAGAGACTGAGTTATACATGGTGAATTTTATAAAAGTATTTTATGTGGTGATGTTTGCATAGGTTTATATTTTCTTTCATACTACTTAATATGGTTATGCAACTGTTTAAGCAATTAGGGTTCAGTAGGGCAGACATAAATGATTTATTATTCAATGATATAGCTATGTTGGGATATTTCAGAATTTTACTTGCTTTCTCATTACAGAGGATCAGAGTGAAATTTGTTCCTGAATATCAGTGCACAATACATTTCTTAACCAGATTTAAAAGTTGCATCTGATTAATGTCATATTTCCCTCTGAGGTTAATTTTAATATAAACTTTAATGTAGTAATGGCTATGATCAAATTTATTAAAGTTTTTAATTTACCTGGGCTCCTCTTTATAGCCCATGGACTGCAGTGCAGTAAATTTATTTTTTATGACTGTTCTCAACATTTTACTGATTCCTGGAGGTTAAGTGACTTGTTCAAGGATTCATAATGAGGCTTACTCAACCCACTATTCTTATTCAAATCTCAACAAGGGTGAGTAATTTTATGCCTTCATTCTTATGCTCATTCATTCATTCACAAAAATTTATTTGTTGGTTTCTATGACATATCAGGCATTCTTCTAGCTGCTGGAGGTATATCAATAGAAATAAAACTGACAATGATATCCTTCTCATTGTGAGCTTTCATTCCAATGCAGCAGGGGGGAAGAGAATGGTAAATAACATAATAGTAAATTCTGTAGTGTATTAAGAGGTTAAAAAAATCAACCAGGGAAGAGGTGCTGGAAGTATAAGTTTTATACCTTTTAGAATGAAGAAATGAATTGATTTTTAAATTTCATAAGTTATATTGAAATAATAGGTTTTGTCTTAAACCTTTTCCTTAAACCTTTCCAAGTAGGTAGCTCTGAACACACATTCTATTTTTCCCCTCTCTCGGCACTACTCCATCAAGCAAAGCTATAAATGATGGTTAAATTGTAAGACCAACTCATGAGACCTACTTAATTCATCATGTAGCTTAACTATGGTTCAAATCAAATAGTGTTATAGACCTAACTAGTATTCACAGTGAGTTTTTCTCCCACTCTGGTAAAAATGTATGCCACATTCCAGCGGAAGGTGTTGGGAATCTCATGCTTTTAATTTTGGGGATAAGCACTTCTTCCTCCTCCCACATAATCCAGTATTGGGCAGCTGGGGCTTTTCCATTCAAGTTACTGATGGTGGCTCCTCTACTGCCAGAGGTAGGGGCCTGGCCTTGGGAGGATGAGGGATTTAGTGGAGCAGGGAATTAGAAGTCCTCTCCTCGCACTCCTTTGTCACTCTTCCTCGTTCTGCTCCTTGAACACTCTATGGCGTACTCCCATGCCACATCTTTGTAATTGCTCTTTCTTTGCCCTTGAAGTTTGTTTCTCCAGTGTTTCTATGGCTTGCTCTCATTTCCTTCAGGAATCTGCTCACATGTTACTTCCTTAGAGAGAAGTCTTCCCTGAAATGTTGGAAGTGTTTTTCTGAGCACATTCCTTATTCCCCAACTCCTTTCCTGCTTTATTTTATTTTTTCTCCATAGCATCTTTCTACCTGACATCACCTTTCTATATCTGTTCTACTCTCTGTTAGAAAGCAAGCTCCAGGGATCTACACAAGGATTTTGTTTTGTTCCTCACTGCTTGTCTCTTAAAATAGTTTCTGGAGTATAAACTGGCTTAATAAATATTTATTAGATAAATGAGTCTATTAAAATAAAAAGGCAGAAGCCTTTTTCCTTCCATGGACTTGATTAGGTAGAATTGAGAGCAGTTCTACATGTGTACATCTAGGATCAGAACCTGTGTATACAGGTCTGGGACTGGGGGTTTAGCTCAGGTAGAGTTCTTGCCTAGCATGAGCCATGGCCTCGGGTTTGATCCCCAGCACCACAGAGGGGTGGGGAAAAAGATAAGCTTGCGCTTCTGTTTTCCCTTTCTCTCCATACACATCCATTGCCTTTGGGTTGGAACCCAAGCTCCTTGGTCTGGTATTTAAGGTCTTCTGAGACTTAATTTCTGCCAACCTTTCTAGCTTAACTTCTACCAAACCCTCCACCCCCACCCCAGCCTATGCTGCAGTCATGCGAGTGACTTAAAATCTCCTAGTATGTCACTAGCAATGTTTCATGCAGCACCTCTCACATTTTTGTCACTGGCTTACAGGTCTCTCCTCAGCTCTTTAAAGGAAAGGACCAGGTATATCTTTGCATTTCCAGGACCTGCCACAGTTCCTGGTGTATCACAGATGACTATAATATTTATTCAGTGTTAAAGATGGGTTTGCCTCCGATACAAAGATCAGTTAGAAGTTGAAAAGGATGCATATAGAACAAATAACTTGGTGGACGCACTTTCACTTCATTAGAGGGCTTGGATTTGAGTGTTCAGAGACAAATATGGTTGAAAAGAGCCCAATATTAGAATACCTTGATTTTTAACAAAGTCATTCCTGAGACAAGGATGGATGGCATAGAACATGATTTAATCAGCATATTTAAGTCTAGAGTGAGCCTAAGTGGAAGGATTATTTGACAGATTCTATTAAGAAGAAGCAGTGTCATTTGACAACAGACGGCAGTGAGAGCTTTGGTCCTATTATTTAGTATGTGAGTCATGCAAGGTGGTGACCTTGCTGATTGTGTGGAAACAACTCATGGGGAGAATGCGGGTCAGCAATGGTGCATTCATGTTCTTACTGGTGCAATCCTGGACGTAGTAACAGTGTGAGTGTCTAGGGTTAGGTGAGTGTAATTTGAACTGCTTGTGTTTCAGTGGGAAAGAGTGCTGTGAACTTTGATATCTGTCTGGTGGGAGGAACAAATAGCTGTGTTTGTTCTACATTTTATCTCTGGTTGATGGATCGTATTTTTTGTGCTGATTTGTGAGTAACGATGGATCTATATTCATTTGGCCAGGTACAGTTGAATATGTGAAAAGACTTGATACACTTTTTAGTAATATAATATTTTTTTTAAATGTGAAAGTACAGAGTCAAGTAGGCTATAGATTTTGAAAGATAAAACTTTTTTGAATCAGGTTTGTTACAGAAAGAGAAAATGGCAATTGAAGCCTTTCAGATTTGTTGCCTCCTCCTGCCTCCTGAAAACAGGAGAAAGCTGCAGCTGTTAATGAGGATGATGGCGAGGATCTGCTTAAACAAAGAGATGCCGCCGCTGTGTGAAGGCCTTGGGACCCGGACACTGGTAGGTTGATTATTAGTATCTAAGGTCCTTGAGGTTTTGGAATGAAATTCAACTGAGTCCAGTTTACTGGTCAAATCCATCAGTGGAAGGTGTGAGGCAGCCTGCTTAAGAGTCATGCCATGGGGTTGGGGTTATAGCTCAGCTGTAAAGCGCTTGCCTCGCCCATGTGAGGCCCTGGGTTCGATCCTCAGCACCACATAAAAAAATAAAATAAAATAAAGATATGTGTTCCGTCTTTAAAAAAATCTTAAAAAAAAAAAAAAAAGAGTCATGCCAGCCATCCACCCAGACTGGTGGTGTGCTTCTGGTCTAAGGGTCTTAAAGAACGTTGCGGAAAGCAAAGGGTGAGTATTGAATAGATGCTGAGTGTAGAGATATCTGCTGCATCCTGTTGGACCCCTGTTTAAGTTGATACCTACTGTCAACACAAAGAGAACAAAGGGTGGATAAAAAGAGTAAGTGATTTATCAGGCAAACAACATTTTTTCTAACTCCATGGAAGTAAGCATTGCAACGCCTGTGTTATAACCAGTAAGAGAGATGCAGTATATACAATAAATTAAAAAGAGAGGAAATAAATTCTACAGTTTGACTAGACAACCTGGGAGGAGAGAGAACATGTATCTCTTGGTTTGGTCTAATGGTCTATGAGTGGTAATATTTTTCAGTTTTGCTTAAAAACACGTACTAATTTTGAATCCTACTATGTAATATCAACACGTTTTTTTTACACTAATTCATTTTTACTTGACAAATAATTGTATATACTTATGAGATATGATGTGATGTTTATATATATACGTATACACACACACACACACACACACAAACATATATAGTAGAAAGATTAATTCAAGCTAATTAACATGTCCATCACTCCACCAACTTATTTTTGTGTGTGTGTGGTGAGATGTTTAAAAATTATTCTTCTAGCAATTTTGAAATACATAGCACATTATTATTATTATCATTAACTGTGATCACCATACTGTGGAATAGATATCTAAAACTTTCTGGAAGAACTTCATATTCTCTAATGAGCATCTCCCCTTTCCCCTTGCTCTCTTGCAACCTCTAGTAACCTCCTTTTATACTCTGCTCCTATCAGCATGTTTTTAGTTTACGTTTAGAATTTACTAATAAAAATCTCTTCATTTTCCTCAAAAATATTCCTGGAGCACAAGTGGTGCTTCAATGGATTGAGTGTCCTTTCCATATCCCAGTAACCACTACCCTTCTTGGGGATCCCTGGCCTAGCTTCAGAGAAGTATGGATGGGATAAGATCAGAAGAACACTCAATGCTCTGTGCAGTGATTCTTTTTTTAAATCCTGGGGATTAAATCCAGGGTCATTTTACCACTGAGCTATATTCCCCAGTCCTTTTCTTTTTTTTTTTTTTTTTTTTAAATTTCAAGTTAGGGTTTTGCTTAGTTGCTAAGGCTGTCCTCAAACTTGTGAATATCCTGCCTCAACCTCCTAAGTGGCTGGGATTATTGGCATGTTCCACCATGTCTGATTTATGGAATGATTCTTGACCTCTTTTTTTTTTTTTTTTTTTGGTGGGGAGGGGCTGATGGGCCTTTGTGAAAAGTTGAAGAAAACTTTGCATCTATTCACTATAAGAATATATGTGTAAAAATTTGCGTATAGTTTGAGGGCATTCACAAATCCCCTGGGATCCATAGTTTCCATGTTAAAAAAAAAACCTCCATCTATGTGTCTCTTTGTATCCATAAATATAAGTGAAGATAAAGTATCATTTGCAGTGTGTTGAGGAAATCAAGTCTTATTCAACAGAATTATGATTTTGAAATAAAATTGTCAGCAATACATTTGTTATCCTCTCTAGTGGAGGATGATATTGAGAATTGAGTCATTAGTATAAATTCTGTGAAAGTATATATTTTATATTTCTGGTTACTATAAAGAGAATTTCATCACTTAATGTACTTCTTTTAAAGTCCTATAAGTTTGTTCAAAGGCGATTGTCAAATGTACAAACAAAATCCTAGAGGAAATAAGTTAACTAGGAAAAGATGTAATGATTGAGGCACACTGTTACCAAGTTTTAAAACAAAATCAATAATGAAATAATAAACATTTATAAAATTTTTGCTTTAAAAAAATCAAGAGTGGGCTGGGGAGGTTGCTCAAGTGGTAACGCGCTCGCCTGGCATGCGTGGGGCGCTGGGTTCGATCCTCAGCACCACATAAAAATAAATAAAGACGTTGTGTCACCGAAAACTAAAAAATAAATATTAAAAAATTCTCTCTCTCTTAAAAAAAATCAAGAGTTATATTAGGATATTAAATGACTAAATGACTATAAAGAACTTTGAAATTCAAAGTGTTTTTATTTATATACGAATATGTCACAATATTCACAATAAAACCCCATTCTACATAGCTAGTATGCACCAATAATCCAAGTCATGGTGATAGTAATTTTCAGAAATTGCTTGGACATACATCCCTCTACCATGTCTTTTAAACAGGAGATATAGACTTGTTTTTGCTGCTTTTGTGACAGTCAGCACCTATGGCCAGCTGCCTGGTGGGAGGTCACTCTTCTTTTTGCAAACTAGATGCACTTAGTTCAGAGGACAAAACAACCAGCTCATCTGTGTTTTCTTACCCCTCCCCCGTCTTTAGATGGTTCAGACATTTTCCTGCTGCATCTTGTGTTCCAAGGATGAAGTAGACTTGGATGAGTTATTGGCTGCTAGGTTGGTGACGTTTCTGATGGACAATTACCAAGAGATTCTCAAAGTCCCTTTGGCCTTGCAGACTTCTATAGAGGAGCGTGTGGCTCATCTACGAAGAGTCCAGGTAAAATAGGGGATATTGTCTGTCCTATGAAATTTGCAGTGGAAAGTCATGTTACGTTGCTAGGCTTCTGGGTACATTGTGTTATAAGATTAAGTGAATTTAAAATAAGTCTTGGTATATAGTAAGGACTAAATGTGCTTGCTATTATTGAAAAATTTATGAAATGACTACTTAGATTTGTTGTATAAATCAGTGCTATGTGGTTATCAACATACTATATTGAATAAATTTGGGAAATATAGATCAATACACCAGAAAATAGCAGTTACACCAAAATGTTCATAGTTAGTATTATGGTCTTTCAGGTATTTTGTGTCTTTCTTTCCTTCCTCTTTCCCTTTCTCCTTCTCTCCCTACTTTCCTGCCTTTATCCCTTCCTTCTTTTCTGTTTTGTGACTTACTTTCTTTTACTTAACAATACAATAAAAAAATTCCTCACGTCATTAAATATTCTTGACTGACACCAGAGTGGCCAAGAGCACAGACTTTGGAGCTAAATGTGTTTGATTCAGGACATGCCTTTTATTAGCTTTGTGGCCTGAGGCAAATTACATAATGTCACTCTGGTTCAACATCTACCCCAACCTCTGTTTGTTTTTTTTTTTTTAATCTATAAATGAGAATCATAATAGTTAATTCTTGTCTCATAGAATTGTGTTGGAAATCAAATAGCTCAATACATGTACAGTGCTTACAGTAATGTCTGTCACAAAGTAAACCCTCCATTAGTAGCTGCCGTTGTTGTTGTGTTGTTGTCATTGCTGCGTCATTATTATCATTACTGTAGCACAGTATTCCATAATGGGAACATATCATAGCTCGTTTAAACGATGCCCTCTGGTTGATGTTTAGATTGTCTTTATTATTTTTCCCTGATTGCATGCAATATAATAATAAATATTTTCATAGCTAGATTATTTTTGCCTGATCCATGACTATTTTCTAAGGCACAGCAGTACTTGGTCAAAGATCATAAACCATTTTATAAGAATTGATAGGATATAGCCAGAATCCCCTTTTGCTTGTTTTAATTTACATTTGTGTCAGTGGCATAAGAAAGTGTTCATTTCTTTGCACCTTTGCCTTCTTTGTATATTATCAACATACATACATACAACATTGACCATTTTTTGTGGATAAAAAGTACACACTAATTTTAATTTAATGATTTTGCCAATATTTTTATGAACCAAACTTTAAAAAAGTAAAAATTTTTTAAAAAATGGTTTGCTGAATATCTGCAAGGAATTGTTAAGGAGAACTATGTTGCTTTGTATACTGCATCTACATACATAGCCCAGGCATATATTGCAGCAGCTTGGCCTCATGAACCTCGTCCTGTCACCTGAAGATTGGAAAGCTGAGCCATGATGATTAATTTAGCTGTGAGTAAACATGATCTTGACAAGAGCCACTGTGATGTGCACTGAATAAAATCAGTATCCACTCAATTGTCCAATTACCTTTTCTCTCTTGGAAGACCTCAGTAGAACTGTCAAGCATGAGAGCCTATAGATTACAAGAGGCCTTGAAGAGGCCACTAAACCTCTGCGTCACATCACCTTTGAGTAGGACTTCTCGGAAAATGCACAGGGTAGACTGGACTATTCCAGTGAATTGTTTGGAGGCAGTTTCTGGGCTGACTCTGGGACAAACTGTGAGGTGGGCAATGTTTTTGACATCAGCCTTCTGCTGACCTGGTCTACAACCCTGTCCTTGAGCCCTTCAATCCTAGGTGTCTCAGTTTTTCTCATGCCCTAGGTTTATGGCTGTTGTAGTCTACCTAGACCTCACCCTTTATCCTGACTCTTTTCTGTTTTTCCTGTAATTCAAATGAAAAAATAAAAATAAAAGGCATGTCCTGTAAGCCCTTTGCCCTATGGTTTCAATCTGTCTGTCTTAGGTTGATCTAATTGATCTTATAAACTATCTTTAGGCATGGGATGTGCTTAATGTAATCACCCCTCTTGGCAACAGACTTATTTTTAGTTGTGGCTTCTGGTGGGGGAAATTTTTTTTAAGCCAAATGAAAAAAATGAAAGAATGAATAATATAGTGGGAATACAGAATAACAATAGGGTGCTCTGAAATTAAGTGTTTTTAATGAATGTTCATTTATGCACAGATCTTGTTTTCCTTTTTCTTATTCTCCCCCCTCTCCCTTTTGCCTGGTGCAGTGTCTGTATATTTCTTCTTTCCACTTGACTCTCAGTAGTAATGCAGGAGGGGATGGTCATGGTACCTTTCTCTGCCTAACTGCTTGTCTAAGGGCCAATTTCTATCCATTCCTGAGGGAGGGATAATTAGACCCTCCAGATATGGGAGGAGCCTGTGTGGTTCAGTGTGTTCAACATTATACCTTTTTGGGGGAGGTGGTGGTTGTTGTTCTTTTTAGACCTACATGACAGTAAAGTATATTTTGACATATCATACATACCTGGAGTATAACTTCCCATTCTTGTGGTTGTACATGATGTGGAGTTACACTAGTTGTGTATTCACATATGAACATAGGAAAGTTATATCCGACTCATTCTACTGTTTTTCCTATTTCCATCTCATTGCCTTCATTCTCCTTTGTCTAAACCAATGAGCTTCTATTCTTCCCTTCCCCACTCCTATTATGTGTTAGCATCCACATATCAGAGAGAACATTCAGCCTTTGGTTTTTGGGGATTGGCTTATTTCACTTAGCATGATACTCTCCAGCTCTGTTCATTTACTGAAGAATATAATAATTTCATTATTTACAGATGAGGAATATTCCATTCTGTATTTATACAACATTTTCTTTATCCATTCATATTTAAGGGCTTCTAAGTTGGTTCCATAGTGTGGGTATTGTGAGTTGAACTGCTAGGGGGTTACGTCACTGTAGTTAGAATGCTGATTTAAATTCCTTTGGGTGTATACCAAGGAATGGGATAACTGGCTCAAATGATGGTTTCATTCCAAGTTGTCTGAGGAATCTCCATACTGCTTTCCAGAGTGGTTGCACCAATTTGCAGTCCCATAAGCAATGCATGAGGGTACATTTTCCCCCCACATCCTCACCAACATTTATTATTGTATTCTTGATAATTGCCAATCTGACTGGAATCTCATTAGGTGCATTTCTCTAATTGCTAGAGTTTTGAACATTTTTTTTTAAAATTTCATTTTGTGTCATTTACCTTTTTTTTTTTTTTAACTTTTATTTTATTTTTTGTGGTGTTGGGAACTGAACCCAGGGCCTTGTGCATGCAAGGCAAACACTTTACCAACTGAGCTCTCTTCCCAGCCCCTGAACATTTTTTATATATTTATTGACTGATTGTATTTCTTCTTCTGTGAAGTGCCTATTTATTGATTGGGTTATTTGTTTTTTTGGTGTTAAGTTTTTGAGTTCTTTGTATATCCTGGAGATTAATGCTCTGTCTGAGGTACAGGTGGCAAAGATTTTATCCCATTCTGTTTGCCTCCTCTTCATGTTCTTGATTGTTTCCTTTGCTGTGAAGAATCTTTTTAGTTTAAAACCATCCCATTTGTTGATTCTTGATTTTACTTCTTGCTCTTTAGGAGTCTTGTTAAGGAATTCTGGTCCTAAGCTGACATGATGAAGATTTGGCTACATCACTCTACTATGCTGACTTTAAGTCCTTTGCGTAGATACCAAGGAGTTGGATACTTTTTCTTCTGTTAGGCACAGGACCTCTTTTCTAGTGCCTAAGTTTTTGATCACTTTGAGTTGATTTTTGTGCAGGGTGACTGGAGTTTAATTTCATCTTGCTACAAATGGACTTCCAGTTTTCCCAGTGCCATTTGTTGACTAGGCTATCTTTTCTCCAGTGTATGCTTTTTGTCTAGTATGAGGTAACTATTTATGTGGGTTTGTCTCTGTGTCTTCTGTTCTGTACCATTGGTCTACATGTCTCTTTTGGCACCAGTACCATGCCATTTTTATTACTATAGCTCTGTAGTATAGTTTAAGGGTCTGGTATTGTGATGCCTCCTACTTCACTCTTCTTGCTAAGGATTGCTCTGGCTATTCTGGGTCTCTCATTTTTCCAAATGAATTACACGATTGCTTTTTCTGTTTCCATAATGAATGACGATGGGATTTTAATTTGAATCCATTGAATCTGTAAGTGCTTTGGGTAGTATGACCATTATGACAATATTAATTTCTTCCTATCCAAGAGCATGGGAGATCTTTCCATCTTCTAAAGTCTTCTTCAATTTCTTTGTTTAATTTTCTGTAGTTTTCATTGTAGAGATCTTTCACCTCTTTTGTTAGATTGATTCCCAAATATATATATTTTTGAGGCTATTTTGAGTAGAATAGTTTTCTTAATTTCTCTTTTGGTTGATTTATAGGAACACAGTTTGTTTATGGGTGTTAATTTTGTATCCTGCTACTTTGCTGAATTCATTTATGAGTTCTAGAAATTTTCTGGTGAAGCTTTTTTGGGTCGTCATGTCATAGGCAAGTAGGAATAGTTTGAGCTCTTCTTTTCCTACTCATATCCTTTAATTTCTTTCTTTCATCTAATTGCTCTAGCTAGAGTTTTGAGGACTATGTTGAATAGAAGTGGTGAAAGAGGGCTTATACCTGTTTGAATTGTTTAGTCATTATGTTTAATTTATCCTTAAATATTAGATCTTATTAAAGAGAGCATAGATTTTTTTGTTTATGCCGGGTGCAGTGGCACATGCCTATAATCACAGCAGCTTGTGGGGCTGGACAGGAAGATCACTATTTCAAAGCCAGCCTCAACAATTTTAAGGAGGCCCTTAACAACCGACTAAGACCCTGTCTCAAAAAAAAAAAAAAAAGCTGGGGGTGTAGCTCAGTATTTATGCATCCCTGGGTTCAATTTCCAGTTAACCTCCTCCAACCTCCATCCCCACAAAAAAAAAAAAAAAAATTAAGAAGGATCTTGGCTGGGCATGGTGGCAGGTGTCTGTAATCCCAGGGACTTGGAATGCCGAGGCAGGAGGATTGCAACTTTAAGGACAGACTCTCAGAATAAAGAAAGCTGGGAATGTGACTCAGTGGTTAAGCCCACTGAGTTCAATCCCTGATTCTTAAAAAAAAAAAATAGGTCTTGGATTTAAACAAGTAAAAAAAAAATAGACAAATCTATGATTTTAAAAATGATATTACTCTGAAATTATGGAAATATTTTTATTTCTCAATATACTTTTTCCAAATCAAATTGATAAATGACATGCTATTCCTACTAGGATATGCACCATAATTGATCTAAACTACGTTTTGTCCCTTTGCCTCAGATAAAATACCCAGGTGCTGATATGGATATTACTTTACCTGCTCCTGCATTTTGTCGTCAAATTAGTCCTGAGGAATTTGAATACCAAAGAGCTTATGGCTCTCAGGAGCCCCTGGCAGCTTTACTGGAGGAAGTCATAAGTGATGCCAAACTCTCCAGCAAAGAGAAGAAGAAGAAACTGAAGCAGGTAATGTGGACATTCTTCATAAGTCATGTTTCCTCCTTCCTCTTCTTAGGTTGTTTCTTCTTTTTATCTCTGTTTTGGTAAGTGTTGTGTGACTCTCATTCGAGACACAGCAGGTTTGATAGCGTGCTATTCAGTTCATATATTTCAGAAGTTCTATTGCTTCTACAACTGTGGCCAGTTTCCCAGATCTGCATTCTCGGATGTAATTTTTTCCCCATTATTGAACTCTTCATCTATAGAACTGTTCTCTTATGCTTGTCCTTTGTTTTGATGAGTGGCATGATGTGACCAACAGAATGATGACTCAAAGAAGCTAACTGTGAGGGCAGATTTCTATTTTTTTTTAATGTTAACTCAGATTGAAACCATCATGTCTAGAGTTTAAAAGCCATTGGTTTTAGGTAGCCACTATCAAATTGTTGTTCCTCAGGCATTGTTGTTTCTCTCTGTAATTGTGGAGAAGAGTTCAGTGGTAAGAACCAAAGGAAGAATATATTGCCTCCCTTTAAGGTTTTCATAAAATGATGTATATCAGAATGGTTGCTTTTTCATTTGGACAAAAGTTGGTGGGACTGAGTTGGAGAAGCAGGAAGATAGGGAAATACAGTTGGGCCCAAATTTTCCTTAACTGCTTAGGACTTAAGTTATTCTTTCAAGTCAGAGTTACTTGTGAATATTTTTTAAGTGAGGTCTATTTATTGTTGGCAGTGGGAAAAATTTTAAGAAATATGATTAAAAGGAGAACTTCGTTCAAAGATTGGATCAAAGGAAAGATGAATTTGATCTATAGACATCAAAATGGAATGATTTAACAAAAATAAAAACAGGGAAGTATGGGGTCAGAAACTCTTCATTAAAACTTGCCCAGTTTTCTTGGCTCTTCTATAAATTTTTGACTCTTTTTGGACCTCTTGTTTAGTTTCAGAAATCCTATCCTGAAGTCTATCAAGAACGATTTCCTACGCCAGAAAGCGAAGCGATTCTCTTTCCTGAAAAACACAAACCGAAACCACAGCTGCTCATGTGGGCACTGAGAAAGCCTTTCCAGCCATTTCAAAGAACGAGAAGTTTTCGAATGTGATGCTTCTGCAGGGACACTGCTTAGAGACTCTGTGGCGGTGGCTGTTTTGAATACGAGCAGAAGAAAGAAAAGCACGACATACAGACTACTGAAGTGTACATACAGATTGTCTGACTTTTAAAATGTTGAGCCATTGTCAGTATTTTTATAAAATTCATGCTATTTTTAAAGTTGTACAAATCAATAAAAGATTATGAATCGAATATACAGGCTTGAAGTTGTTACAAAATCTAAGGTAAAATATTTTTATCTTTTGGGCTGGGATTGTGGCTCAGTGGTGGAGTGCTCGCCTCGCATGGGTGGGCCCTGGGTTTGATCCTCAGCACCACATAAAAATAATGGAATTGTGTTGTGTCCATCTACACCTAAAAAATAAATATTTTTTAAAAAATATTTTTATCTTTTTATTGTTATCATGATGTTTGTAAAATACTTGTGTGTGTGTGTACATGCTAGTTACTGATATCTTTGTGATAACCAAGTCTTAAGAAAGGTGTATATACTTGAACAAGAGACCCTGGATACTGTTATTGTGGTGCTGTTGACCCACTGGGATTTCTCCTGTGTAAATCCCACTTTTCATTGTTGCAAAGAAAAATTCTTAATGTCCTATATTTTGATAGCTGTGTCTTTTATTGCAGGTTTGTTGGATGCTCTGACAGATTTTACAAAAATTGGGTCTTTTATAACATATGTAATTAGGGGGCTTTATATAAAAGTGGAGGAGGTTTTCATTTGCCAGCAATGATATAATTTCAAAATTATCTAGAGTCGTAAGATTGAATTAGACAAATTCTTTGGGCATCCTTAGACCTATAATTCTAAATTAAGCCTTTGTTATACAATTTTTTTCACAAATGTTTTTGTGAAAAACATAAATGGATTAAGCAAAATTAGACTACTTCCTTTATAAATATATTTTTCTCAGTTTCTTTGTCCTTTGGAATGTAAATAAATGCTGTTTTTTTAAATACCATATATAGTGTTTTCCTTTTTTTTTTTTTTTTTTTTGCACATATTTAGATTGGTTAGAAAGCATCCTTAAATGCCTTTGCTAATATTCTTACATCAGTCATTTATTTCTGTAGGAAAATAAGTGAGATTTGGGCTTCTGTATTAACCTTTAAAAGGCACCCCCTCACACACACCCTCAGCCCCATTTGTTTGTTTTTTGCTTTGCTTCGCTTTGCCCTTTTGCAAAATAGTGGAGCACTTGGATCACGGACATGTGGAAGGCTTCCTCTGAGAGCCATTACCCAGAAAGCTAAGGACAACACCTAGTAATTGGCTTGTGGTACAGTCTGGGCTGATTTTTCATCTCACTTGAGATCTATTGCTGTTCTCTTGTAGCAGACCACCTTCAGCTGTTGACAGAGATTTTGCCTCATTTAAAAAAAAAAAAGGATAAAAGTATTCCTATTAGTTTGAGTGCCACCTTCCATTCCAAATGTGTAATGTAATTCGTTATTTTTAGTGTTTCAGGATTCACTTTCAGACGTTGCAAAGAATGATTCTACTTTCTGCTCTATTTGCCCTTTATGGCAGAGTTTATTTTCCAAAATATTCTCTCTATTGCCCATCTTTGGAAGTATATGTGATTATTATCTTTCTTTTCTTTTTTATGATTCCTTTTTAAAAAAGTTTGATGTACTTATGGAAAGACCAAAAATGTCTCCACCACCTAAGTATGAAACTTACAATAGGTAACAGTAATTTCCTAAAGCAGTTGTACTAATGCACACTTCCATTATCAAAGAGCTTCTTTTGCAGAACATCCTCACCAAAACATACCATTGCCAGACTTTGAATTGTCAATGTGAGGTATATAGCGGTGTCCATATACTTTTGGACTTTTTCACTTTTATACAAATTTTAACAGCATTTCAGCTACAACACACCTTGTTGAGATTTTGATTGGAATTCATTGAATCTATAAATTAATTTGGAGAGCATTGCTGTCTTTACAACGTTAAGCCTTCCAGTTCATGGTATGGCCTATCCCTCTATTTATTTAATGAGAAAATATTAAATTTTTCTGTAAAGGTTTGTAAAGTTTTTGTGAGATTTGCTCCTAAGAACTCAAAATTTTCAGTTATATAAAGAATAAAGAAAATAGTACCTATTCCCTAGCTTCAGTTGTTACTGTTCAACTGATAACTGATGTTTAATCCTATTATTGATGTTTTTTTACAGTTTTCTTTTTCTGTTTTTTGCTTGTATGTGGCATAAAACTGGCATTTTTAATTTTTTCTTTCTTCTCTTTAGATATATGTGACAGTATATTTTGACATATTATATGCACACAGAGTATAATTTATTCTACTTATGATCCTATTCTTGTGGTTGAACATGATGTGAAGTTACAGTGGTCACGTATTCATATACAAGGATAGAAAAGTGTCTGGTTTATTCTACTGTCTTTCCTATTCCTGTCCCCCTTTCCCTTCTTTCCCTTTGTCTAATCTAATACCAAGTTCCCCCTCAACTCCCACTTATTGTGTTAGCATCTGTATATCAGAACTTTCTATTTGGCCTTTTCACATATCATGATAGTCTCCAGTTCCATCCATGTACTGGCAAATACCATATTTTGTTCTTCTTTATACCATTGTGTATATATACCACATTTTCTTTATCCATTCATCTGTTGAAGGGCACCTAGGTTGGTTCCATAGCTTGGCTATTGTGAATTGAGCTGCTATAAACATTGATGTGGCTGCGTCAGTGTAATATACTAATATGAAATCCTTTGGGTATAAGCTGAGAGTGGGATAACAGGTTAAATGGTGGTTCCATTCCAAGTTTTCTGAGGAATCTCCATAGTGCTTTGCAGAGTGGTTGCACCAATTTGCAGTACCATAAACAACGTATGAAGGTAAGTTTTTCTTCCACATCTCCTGTCAACATTTATTGTTGCTTGTATGCTTGATAATTGTTATTGGAGATGGAATCTCAGTGTAGTTTTAATTTGCATTTCTCCAATTACTAGAGATATTCAACATTTTTCTCATATTTGTTGACTGATTGTACTTCTTCTGTGAAGTGGCTGTTCAGAATTTTTGCCTGTTTGTTGATTGGGTTTTTTGGGTTTTTTGCTCTTAGGTAAAACTAGTATTTGTTTACTGATTTTTTTGTGTGTGTCAGGTAACTTTGCTAGACTTTCTTATTAATTATAAACATGTAGTGTGACTTTTGTGTTTGATTTTCTACATTTGTTACATATCAGCACTGATAGTTTTTGTTCTTCCTTTTTGTGGTAGACAGAATCTGAATGTTCCCAGTGATCCCTGCTTCCTGATATTTAGTGCCCTGGATAATCCCCTTTCCTTAAGTGTAGATTGGCCCAAGTGATACTTTCAACTGATAGAAAGTGGCGGGATATCAATTCTGAGACTAGGTTCCATAAGACCCTGGCTTCCATCTTCCTTGCCCCCTGGCTTGTTGTGAGAAAAGCCAGCTGTCATGTTATGGGCCATGTACCGAGGCCATCTGGCAAAGAATTAATGCCTCTCATCACGGCCAGTGAAGACGTGGGTCTGTCAACAGCTCTGTGAGTGATTCTGGCAGTGGGTCCTCCCTGACTTGAACCTTGAGGTGACTCTAACCCTGGCTGACAGCTTGACTGCAGTCTTTTGCAAAACTCCCAGCCAGAGGTCTCAGCTAAGCTGTCCTGGATTCCTGATGTACAGAAAAGGTGAGGTATAAAGTGTTTGTTGTTTTAAACCACTTAATATGACTTATAATGAAGTGATAAATATGATACACTTTCTTATTCTTAGGCCATTTCTCTCTCTTAATGCTGAATAAAAGTAATAACAGCCATCATTATCTTATTGCTGATTTCAAAGAGAAAGTTTTGACCATATTTTAAGATATTTGTAGATAACTTAAATTTTTTTTTTTTTTTTTTTTTTGTAGTTATAGATGAACAGCATGCCTTTACTTTGTTTATTTGTATGTGGCACTAAGGATCAAACCTAGTGCCTCACAGGGGCTGGGCAAGTGCTCTGAGTGCTACAACCCCAGTACCTATAGGTAACTTTTGATCATGTTACGTGATTTTCTATTTCTAGATTGCCAAAACAGTTTTGTTTGTTTACTTGTTTTGGTCATAAGTTGATACTGGCTTTTTTGCATTTCTGGAGGATTTTTGTAGGTTTCATCTTTTAAATCTGTTAATTAATCGATTTCTAATATTATATTAATATAGTAATTGATTTCTAATATTAAGCCAATATTGCATTTGGGTGTAAGGGTTGTAGTGGGAATCTAAATCATGATCACTATAATTTTAATATATATCTAAATTTTGTTGTTAATATTTAGTATGTATTTATTTCTTAAATCTATGTTCATAAGTAGAATTGGTTTGAAGCTTTATTATCCTTGTTGGGTTTCAGATTATTATAGTTTGGATCTTAAATGCCCAAATACCAATATTCTAAAGGCTTCATTGCCAGCCTGTGGCACTGTTGGGACATTGTACAGGTGGGACCTAGCAGAAGGAAGATCTGTCATTGGGTGCATGTCCTTAAAGGGGATGCTGGAACCCCAACTCATTCCTCTCTGTCTTTGCTTCCTAGCCACCATGTAGTGAAAAGATCTTTGAAATGCACCCCTGCCATGTGGTTCTGATCCACCAAAGGCCCAAAGTGACACGACCAAATGACCATGAAGTGGAATCTCCAAAACTATGAATCAAAATAAACCTTTTCTTCTTTAAGTTGATTTCTTAGGTATTTTGTTACAGCAACAGAAAGATGACTAACATACTGATTAGATTATAAATTGAGCTGGAGATTGTTTCCTTCTTCTGAAAGTGGAAAATTATTAGAATTATTTCTTCCTTGGATCTTGGTTAGAACTCACTGGTGAAGTCACAGAGAAACATTCTAGTTAACATTTTGTCACTGATATTTAATATAATTACAAAAATAGTTTGTTTAATTTCAGTCTTGGAAATTTGTTGATATTTGTTGCATTTTTTAGCATATGGTCAATTTTTCTTAATATTTGATGTGCACTTGAAATTATGAATTTTATAGTTGTATTTTTCTCTATATAAACTCTTGTTCAAATTGTTTTAATTCTTACTGATTTTATGTTGTCTACATTTATATGTATTCCTTAAAGAAAGACATATTTCTGTTGAAATTCATTATGAATTTTTATATCCTTATGGTGCACTGATCTTCTAATCATCAATGTCACTCTTTATATTTGTTTGCGATTTTTCTGTTTTGATGTACACCTGAAACAGCATTCATTTAGATTTTTTTTTAATTTGATGTTTTTAGATATGCATGACAGTAGGGTGTATTTTGCTCATTATACATACAGGGGGTGCAACTCATTACAATTTTGATCCCATTCTTATTAAATATGATGTGGAGTTACACTGGTTATGTATTCATATATGAATCTAGTAAACTTATGTCTGATTCATTCTACTGTCGTCTTTGTACCCATCCCCCCTCCCTTCACTTCATTCCCGTTTGCCAATCCAATGTACTTCTATAATTCCCCACCCTATCTTCCTTTGTTATGGGTTAGCACCCCCATATCAGAAAGAACATTTTGCCTTTGGTTTTTGGTATTGACTTATTTCACTTAGCATGATATTCTCCAGTTCCATCTATTTACCAGGAAATGCCATAATTTCATCCTTCTTTATGTCTGCGTAATATTCCATTGTATATATACCACATTTTCTTTATCCATTCATCTGTTGAAGGGCACCTAGGTTGGTTCCATAGCTTGGCTATTGTGAATTGAGCTGCTATAAATATTGATGTGGCTGTGTCAGTGTACTATGCTAATTTGAAGTCCTTTGGGTATAAGCCAAGGAGTAGGATAACAGGTTAAATGGTGGTTCTATTCAAAATTTTCTGAGGAATCTCCATACTACTTTCTGGAGTGGTCGAACCAATTTGCTGTCACATAAGCAATGTATGATGGTACCTTTATCCCCACATCCTTTCCAACATTTATGTTACTTGTATTCTTGATAATTGGCATTCTGGTTGGAGTGGGATGGAATCTCAGTGTAGTTTTAATTTGCATTCTTCTAATTGCTAGAGATGTTGAACATTTTTTTTATACACACACATAGATATATATAAGTAGAGAGAAATATATAGATGTATATGCTAAACCCAAGGCCAACATCATTCTAAATAGAGAAAAATTTGAAGAATTCCCTCTAAAAACTGGAACAAGAAAGGGATGCCCTCTTTCACCACTTCTATTCAACATAATTCTTGAAACCCTCGCCAGAGCAATTAGGCAAAAGAAAGACAAAAATGAAGAGGTACAAATAGGAAAAGAACTAAAACTATCAATATTTGCTGATGACATGATTCTATATTTAGAAGACTCCAGAAAACTCCAACAAAAAGCTTCTTGGACTCATAAAGGAATTCAGAAAAATAGTAGGATATAAAATCAACACCCACAAATCAATTGTGTTCCTATACACCAATGACGAATCAGCTAAAAGAGAAATCAGGAAAACTATCCTATTCACAACAGCCTTGGAAAAAAAAACCAAACCAAACCAAAACAACAACAAACCCTTGGGTTTCAATCTAACAAAAGAGGTGAAAGACCTCTACAATGAAAACTACAGAACACTAAAGAAAGAAATTGAAGAAGATCTCAGAAAATGGAAAGATATCCTATGTTCTTAGGCAGAATTAATGTCAAAATATCCATCCTACCAAACGTGCTATACAAATTTAATGCAATTCCTATTAAAATTCCAATGTTGTTTTCATAGAGAAAGAAAAAGTAGTAAGGAAATTTGTTTGGAAAAATAAGAGACCCAGAGCAGCCAAAACAATCCTTAGTGAGAAAAGTTACACAGAAGGCATCACAATACCAGACCCTTAAATTATACTGCAGAGCTATAGTAACAAAAATGGCATGGTATTGGCACCAAAATAGACATGTAGGCCAATGATAAAGAATAGAAGACAGGGAGACAAAACCCACATAAATACAGTTACCTCATACTAGACAAAGTTGCCATAAACATACATTGGAGAAAAGATAGCCTCTTCAACAAATGGTGCTGGGAGAACTGGAAATCCATATGTAGTAGATTGAAATTGCACCCCTATCTCTCACTCTGCACAAAACTCAACTCAAAATGGATCAAGGACCTAGGCATTAGACCAGAGACCATGCACATACTAGAAGAAAAAGTAGGCCCAACTCTCCATCATGCCAGCTTAGGAACCAAATTCCTCAACAAGACTCCTAAAGTGCCAGAAGTAAAATCAAGAATGAATAAATGGGATGGTACTAAACTAAAAAGCTTTTCATAGCAAAGGAAACAATTAAGAACATGAATAGAGAGCCTACAGAATGGGAGAAAATCTTTACCCCATGCACCTCACCTAGAGCATTAATCTCCAGGATATACAAAAAAATAACACCAAACACACACACACACACACACACACACACACAAACAATCCAATCAATAAATGGACAAAAACCCAAACATTTCTTCTTTCACAAAGGGAGAAATATGAATGGTAACTGTAACATTTAGGCAATTTATACTTCATACAATTACTCTATATTTGGTTATAACTCTACTACTTTTATTGATGCTTTTTAACTAATTGTCTTTACTTTCTTGCCTCTGCTTGGATTTAAAAAGTAATTTAATTTTCTACTGATGTGAAATGGATGTGGTCTATTTCTAATCTTCTTATTGTGCTCCCTATAAATTACATCTTATAAAATAATTTGCCAAAGTTTAATGTTAGTCAATATCTTTACTCAGACAATTCAGGGCCCTGAAAGCATAAACACTCTCCCAATTAGCTGTTATTGTTGCAACATATTTTATTGCTTTTTTAATAGCTTAATTTAATTATTCCATATAGTCTTTATTAGGCTACATATTTTACCACTTTTTCCCTTCTTAAAGTACATTATTGAAAATTTATTTCTGGTAAGTATTTGCTGGCTGTTGTTTGAAAACTTTTTAATTTTCCCCTTTTAAAGACAGTTTTATTGAGGTAAAATTCATATACCACCTGATTTATCCACTGAAAGTATATAACAATGATTTCTGGCACATTATTTTTTAAAAGTTGTGGAGATATATAGATACATATTTATATCTATCTATCTCTATCTCTATCTCTATATATGTATATATAAAACAAAATTTGTAATTTTAGCCATGTTTACCATTTTAAGTGTATATTTCAATGTAAAGAATAACCTCACTCTTTAACGGTGTTTTTACTGTGAGTTATGGGATAGATATTTGTCTTTCCCTAAATCCATACATTGAAATCCTGACCCCCAATGTGTTAGAATTAGGATATGAGGCCTTTGGGAAGGTAGTTAAGCCACAAGGATGCAGCCCTTTTAAGTAGGATTAGTGCCCTTATAAAGAGCCCTCAGAGAGCTCTCTAGCCCTCCTTCTGCCATGTACAATGAGAAGTTGATTGTCAGCAGCCCAGTAAAGACCCTCACTAGAACCAAACCATGCTGGCAATCTGACCTCAGACTTAGCTTCCAGGACTATGAGAAATTTCTGTTGTTTGTAAGCCTCCCAGTCTACAATACTTTGTTATTGCCACATGAAGTGACTTATAGGGGTCATTTAGAATTCTAGGTTGATAATTATTTTATTTCAGTACATTGTAGTTCTCATCCCTTTGTTAGATG